ATGTGATTTCAGCGTTAGTTGCATTGAAATAGATCATATTCATATACTCATGGCTTATTGAAAGCATTGTATTTAGAATGTGCTGTTTACTTGATGGAAGGGATGTTTGCAAACATTTTTAAAAGAAGTGCAGTTTTTAAGAATAATTTCCTGCCCAACTATTGAGTGACAGTCCTTCTGTTTTATAGTAGGATTTTTGTATTCGTGGTACTTTTTAAAGTTGTTTTTCAGTGAAAAGCACTGATATTATTTTCTCAGTATGATTCAAGTTTTAAATTACATCAAGTTTATTTAAGCAGTTTATGTGGCACCGTTGTCTCATTGAAATCTTTTTGACTTGGCTACAGTGTGTTTTGCTTTTATTGGGCCACTGTGATCATGTGGAATAACATGGGCAACTTGTAATGTCTGATGTCTGGCGGTCGTGTGTCATAGATCTTCAGAGTCATGTATGCTGAAGCTCTCAGTTAGAGATCAACATGTGCTGTAAAAGTGTGATTTTGAAAAGTTGTTAAAGAGAGCCCATATTAAAGGGATAATGCATTATGTTATGTGGTGTATTGTGGTGTTTTAATGTGTGATCACTTGAGAAATACTTAGAATATTCACTGGCAAAAATGTATTGTAAAATAGTTCATGAGTTCTTCCTCCCACATTAAAAGGTAAGCAGTAAAGTGTAGCAGTATAATTGTGGGTTATATGTTATCAAATTATGAGTCATTGTGGTTGGAACCTGGAAATGACCCTTACTAAACTGGTTTTACCACCAGAGCACTTGTTTCACTGTCTCTCATTTGGTTCACTTGACTCTCTTTGAAATCCAACTCCAGGCTATAATGTTGAACTTTATGACCAAGGTTAAAAAAAAAAGCATTTTTATCTCATATAAACTATTGTGGTTGAAATGAGCCATAATGAAACTCTTAAGTGGAACAGTGATGGAAAAAAGCACTTGATGTCAAAAGGCTGTGTAGCCTTAGGCCTTTTTAAACAGCAGTTAAATGAAGTGCAATTTCATAAGACTAAAATGATCCTTATGCCATTAGAGCAGAAAAACATCTCAGTCCTTAGTTTTTCATTCAAGAATGGTTATGCTTTTTCTTCATAAAATGAAAGCACAAAGTGTAAATAAAGCATTGTTTAATTCATCGCTATCACAGTAAAGTGTGTGCGGAGATGTGCACATAAATACTGCTTGTGTGAAAGAACAGTTCTTTATAGATCAGTCCTGTCTTACTGCCGCAAATCT